TTAGTACACAGAAGAGGTGTACTGTACCAATTGAAAATTGAAGTGTTCAGTATGTATGGATGTAATTAATAATTATGTCATTCCCCCTCGTTCCGACTCGCTGCCCACTTGGGAAGGTGGGGGATGTTTTGTTCTGGTATTAGGTACGAAGTACCGGTGTGCACAGCTTTTTTTATACTAAAATACAAGTACCCAGTACTTCATCAATACAAGTTCAGAGTCACGTCAACATCATCCGCTTTATTATCTTCATCCGCCCCCTTCCTCTCCTCTTCTCTCACAATACCCTTCTTCTTCAATCTTCAATCTATAACATTTTAAGATAATCAAAATGGTTAAGGCTGGTAAGTAATTTCCATCATTGGCTCTCTATGCACCTTAAATTAGCTCCACGTTCCCCATATGTGGCGAGGGGACCTTGGGTGTGAGCAGATTTGAGCACCTTGTGATCCAGAGCCCAAATCCGAGCCTATCGGCTTGCATCCTCGCCCTCTCCACTGCTATCTGGATGTCTGCCAATGTCCCTGGGACGAATCTGGGGATCATCGCATCATCGCTGCTCATTTGCTAGTGCGGCACTCTGATCCTGGACCAGTGCGGCACGAGCCGTTGCTGGGTCCGAGACCAGGAGCTTGGAGATGCAGTAGCCGGCATGCCGGGCACCCTTCGATAGGCCTTCTAGAACAATTTATTGACCACTCTTCTTTCGTTACAGTTGCTGTTCTCCGTGGTGACGCTAAGGTCGCCGGCACCGTGACCTTCGAGCAGGCCAACGAGAGTGCCCCCACCACCATCTCCTGGAACATCACTGGCCACGACGCCAACGCTGAGCGTGCTTTCCACGTTCACCAGTTCGGTGACAACACCAATGGCTGCACCTCCGCTGGTCCTCACTGTATGTCATTCATGAGCAAAAGACAAAGAGGAAGGCTCGAATACTGATCGCTTCTAGTCAACCCCTTCGGCAAGACCCACGGTGCTCCCACTGACACCGAGCGTCACGTCGGTGACCTTGGCAACTTCAAGACTGATGCCGAGGGTAACTCCAACGGCTCCAAGGAGGACAACCTCATTAAGCTGATTGGTGCTGAGTCCGTTCTGGGCGTAAGTTTTTAACCTGTTCAAAATTGCCGAAACAGATTGCTAACCTAGCTGCTTAGCGCACTCTGGTCGTTCACGCCGGTACTGATGACCTTGGCAAGGGTGGTAACGAGGAGTCCAAGAAGACCGGTAACGCCGGTCCCCGCCCTGCTTGCGGTAAGTTCATAAAGATGTGATGTTTGATATGAGTGCTAATGAAATGTTTTAGGTGTCATCGGTATTGCCGCATAAGTGTGCAGCTCTAGCTCACTTTGAAACCTGGGTCTTGATATCACCGTAATTGGTGGATAAAAATTGCAGGATGCTCCGTTTAGGATACATGAATGAATGCCAATTTGCCATGTGTATATTTGGATATATATGTCGTGATCGAATAGCTCCGATCTTCGATGCTTCGTAGACTTCCGTAGAAGCTCGGATCGCCTGACCGCTTTCCCCCACAAGTCCAAACACCGGCCACGTTTCCCCTCAGGACATTCCCCTTGCTCTCAACTTCTCCTTCTCTTCCTTGTGTTTTTATTCTGGTTTTGTCTTCAATCTCATCACAATTGTGTGGTAGTGGAGACTTGTTTCATACAGTATGCCTTTTGAAGCCCGGGTCAAGTCCGTCCTGTCCGGTGACACGGTCGTGCTGTCGCATATCACCAACCCTTCACAAGAACGCATCCTAAGCTTGGCTTATGTCTCTGCTCCGAGATTAAGGAGAGAGGGTGATGAGGTAGGCGCATTGTTAAGATTGATTCCCTAATTGCATCATGGGAAGCCCGGATTTTGTTGCTTGTTGTGTTATCCAATTCATGGTCTTTCTGGTCCCTTGTGGGCTACGCACAGCATCGGATAAAATAGCCGTAACGGAAGGAGGAAGGAGAGAAGAGGAAAACAGACAAGGCTAATTTGAATTATCAATTATAGCCATACGCCTTCCAATCCCGCGAATTCCTCCGTGAACTCCTTGTCGGCAAAGTTGTCCAGTTCCACGTTGTCTACACCATCCCCACCGGTGCCAAGCGCGACTACGGCACCATCAAGCTGCCTGGTTTCGATGCCTCACTGCCCGATATCAGTGTGCAGGAAGGTTGGACACGAGTCCGCGAAGAAGCAGGCAAGCGCGGAGATGAATCGGAAGAGACCGCTGCGCTCTTGCAACGCCTGCGGGCATTGGAATCCCTTGCCCAGGAGGAAGGAAAGGGAACTTGGGCCGGTGGCGATGATGCCCAGATCGAGACTACCTATGAGTTGACTGGCGCTCGCGATTTGGTTAAGCGTAACTTGGGTCAGCAGCTGGAGGGTATCATCGAGAAGGTTTTGAACGGTGACCGTGTTGTGCTGCGTTTGATGCTCAAGCCCCAGGAGCACATTCAGACTGTCATTGCTGTTGCTGGTATTCGGGCACCATCTGCTAAGCGCACAACCGCTGATGGCAAAGAGACCGCGGCTGAGCCGTTCGGTGATGAGGCACAGCAATTTGTTGAGGAACGGTTGTTGCAGCGCAAGGTCAAGGTTTCTCTGCTTGGTGTTACGCCGCAGGGACAGATTGTTGCCACCCTCCTTCACCCCAACGGAAACATCTCTCGCTTCCTCCTTGAGGCTGGTCTTGCCCGCTGTCAGGATCACCACTCCACTCTCTTGGGCCCCGATATGGCTCTTCTCCGCCAGGCGGAACTTACAGCGAAGGCTGGCCGCAAGGGATTGTGGGTTAGCCACACGGGACCCACAACTGCTGGTGCCGCGGCTGTGGACTACGTTGTCACCCGTGTTTTGAATGCTGATACCCTCTTCATCCGCAACAAGGCCGGTCAGGAGAAGAAGATCAGCCTTGCCAGTATCCGTCAGCCCAAGCCCTCCGACCCTAAGCAGTCTCCCTTCGCTGCTGAGGCGAAGGAGTTCCTGCGCAAGCGAGTGATCGCTAAGCATGTCATGGTCACTGTGAACGGCAAGAAGCCCGCGAACGAGGGCTACGAGGAGCGCGAGGTTGCTACTGTTGTGCAGGGCAACACCAACGTTGGTCTGGCCCTTGTGGAGGCTGGCTACTCCTCTGTAATTCGTCACCGTATGGATGACGCTGACCGGTCTCCCGACTACGATGCGCTGCTCGCTGCCGAGGCTGATGCCCAGAAGGAAGGCCGTGGAATGTGGTCTTCCAAGCCTCCCAAGGCGAAGCAGGTGGTGGACTACTCAGAGAGTGTACAAAAGGCGAAGCTGGAGCTTGGTATCTTGCAGCGTCAAAAGCGTGTCCCGGCTGTCGTCGACTTTGTCAAGTCTGCCTCTCGTTTCACCGTTCTAGTTCCCCGGGATAACGCCAAATTGACTCTGGTTCTTTCCGGCATCCGTGCCCCGCGCTCTTCCCGCGGGCCCAGCGACGCCGGTGAACCTTTCGGTCAGGAGGCCCATGACCTTGCCAACCGCCGCTGCATGCAGCGCGACGTTGAGATTGACGTCGAGACCATTGACAAGGTCGGCGGGTTCATTGGAAGCCTATATATCAATAAGGAGAACTTCACAACCGTCCTGCTAGAGGAGGGTCTCGCTACCGTCCACGCATACTCAGCTGAGCAGTCTGGTCACGCCAACGAGTATTTCGCTGCTGAGCAGCGGGCCAAGGACGCCCGCAAGGGTCTGTGGCACGACTGGGACCCCGCCAAGGCAGCTGCTGAGGCTGAGGAAGCCGAGGCCGCCAATGGCGCCGGAACTGGCACTGAGAGTGATGCCGCCCCTGCGCAGCGTCGCAAGGACTACCGCGACGTTATGGTTACCTACATTGACCCTACCTCCGCAAAGCTCAAGCTTCAGCAGATTGGCACTGGTACCAACGCCCTCACCGAGCTGATGAGTGCTTTCCGCAAGTTCCACCTTAACAAAGCCAACGATACCCCGCTGCCCGGCCCTCCCAAGGCCGGCGACTGGGTTGCTGCTCAGTTCACCGAAGACGGCGACTGGTACCGCGCCAAGGTGCGTCGCAATGACCGCGAGAAAGAGCAGGCTGAGGTTGTCTACGTCGACTTCGGTAACTCCGAGGTTCTGCCATGGGCCTCACTCCGCCCTCTCACACAACCCCAATTCTCCGGCCAGACTCTCCGCCCCCAGGCCATGGATGCAGTCCTCTCTCTCCTACAGTTCCCCACCTCCGAGGATTACCTCGAGGATGCCGTCGGCTTCATCGGCGATCAGACCTTCGACCGCCAGCTCGTGGCGAACGTTGACCACATCGACCAGGACGGCACCCTGCACGTCACTCTCCTCGACCCCTCTGCCTCCAAGAATTTGGATAACAGCATTAACGCCGACATCATTCACGAGGGTATGGCCATGGTCCCCCGCAAATTGAAGGCGTGGGAGCGCGCCTCCGTCGATACCCTCTCTAACCTGCGCGCGCTTGAGGACGAGGCTAAGGCTGACCGCCGCGGTATGTGGGAGTATGGTGATTTGACCGAGGACTAATTTCTTGTAACTATTTGACTTTTGGGCTGTATGGTGATCTGTACAGATATGGTTGGGGTTGGCCGTATGATTAACATCTGGCTGTGCCGTGTACAACTGGTACTTGGTTTAATTTAGGCCAGAATTTTATTGCATTTTGTGTTTTGTTTAAAGAGCTTCAAGTTATATATATATCCGCTAGGGCTAGTTACCTTGGTTGATCTTACCGATTAGCTTTGTTAATCGATGGATCTATGGCAGATGAAAGATATCTTTAACTCAACATTCTCAATAAGTGACTCAAATGCCCTAAGTGCATAGCGATGTATCACAAATAATCAATATAAGCACCTGGGCACTGATCTCGGGACCAAAGGTGTCATATTTATTTCACCGCCTCTTTCCCTCCGCCACCTCCGAGATATATTTCAGAAAGGTCGATCCCTCCTTTTCAGGTAAACAAACAGAGATAGGGACTCAGCATGTTTTGGGGCAACAAAACTCCGCAGGACTCCGAACAGGATCTGGCGCGTACCGATTCAGCTTCGAAGAACGATCCCGCCGCATCCGCCTCACAAGCTTCTGGTACAGCATGGCTCGCCGGGCACTTGCACCACCTGACACCGGAGCAGGATGAGAAGCTGCAGGAGTTTAAGGCACTATGCGCCGAGCGGAAATACTATACCCCTGCTGTGGAACAAGCAGATGGCGTTGAAGCGAAGCCCGCCAGTCAAGATGATGCGACTTTGTTGTATGTTGCGCCTCCGCGCCGGACCCCACCCCAGCTAGAAATGGACGACGCCAAACAAGATGATCGAGTGCTGATTTTCATTTTTCGCGCAGGCGATTCCTCCGAGCTCGCAAGTTTGATGTCGAGGGCGCATGGACTCAATTCAAGGACACGGAAGACTGGCGCAAAGACAACGCCATCGAGGAGCTATATGAGAATATCAGCGTGGATTCATACGAGGCCGCTCGGCGCATGGTCCGTCTTATAAAACTTGCGAACGAGCTCACTGATCTCATGCTGATGTTTACTGTCCATATAGTATCCCCAATGGACAGGCCGTCGCGATCGTCGCGGAATCCCTGTCTACGTCTTCCAGATCCGCCACCTGGATAACAAGGCTATCGCCGCTTACAACTCCACCATGACTACCGGTACACCCGAAACTCACAAATCATCCACAGTCCCTGCGCGCTTGTTGAATCTCTTCGCTTTGTATGAGAACCTCCTCCGATTCGTGATGCCGCTCGCTTCCTCGCTCCCACGTCCAAACCCGGAGACACCTATCGTGACATCGACCAATATCGTGGATGTCAGCGGTGTTGGGTTGAAGCAGTTCTGGAACTTGAAGAGTCATATGCAGGATGCTAGTGTTTTGGCCACGGCGCATTACCCCGAGACATTGGATCGAATCTTTGTATGTTGCACCGCGTCGAATTCGTCCAGAGAGCTTTTGCGAATGAAGATAATATCGTGAACTAACTCATTGTTAGATCATCGGAGCACCCTCATTCTTCCCAACCGTCTGGGGCTGGATCAAGCGCTGGTTCGACCCAGGCACCACATCGAAGATTTTCATTCTCTCCGCTGCAGAGGTTGAGCCCACTCTCACCTCCTTCATGGAGCCATCCAGTATCCCCAAGCAATATGGCGGCGAGCTGGACTGGTCGTGGGGCGAAATGCCTAACTTGGACGAGCCCAGCCGTGAACTGCTCAGCGGCATCGAGCAGCCGCTTGCCGACGGCCAAACCCGGAAGAATATCCTCAAGGGCCCTGTATTATTCGAGGGCGACCACCTCAAGGTTCTGGGCACTGTTGACGGAAAGGAGCGAAGGGAAATCGTCCCTGTTCCGAAGACACAGGCTTCGGTCGAGTCAGAGGCTAACTCTGCAGAGACTAAAGTAGACGAGAGTGAGAAGACTGTTGACGAGGTGGCCGTCAAAGTCAACCAGTTGTCTGTGGATGAGACGCAGAACACTGTTGCCGCATAGAACACATAGAATGGCGGATTAATCGTGTTGGGGTTTGTGTTTGGACATACCATTAGCGATGTGACATACAAGATATCGCAGATCTCAATACCGAGGCATATTTTTCTTTGTGTTTTGTTGGATATCCATCTGCTTTTATATTATACAGTGAGGAGTTGCATGTTTTCCAATTGCATGATGCCGGTAGTGGTCCGATCTTCCTGACAGTATACTGTCTCTTTACTTGCTTTACTCTAGGTCGTCTTATGCTGAATTAACTGCTCTTTAAACTGCTTATACTCTTGATTCGTGCTTGATATATGACTGGGCTGGTCGTGACCCCAGTGTATCACATCTCCCCAAGACAGGTCCAGTATGAAAGAATAAAAACATCACGATTGCTCCATGATAATAGAATGGCCTGTTTCATAGAGCTACTGTACCGCTATACCTCGAGAGAAGCTAAGGGAAGAGAGGAAGAGACTAGTGGTGAAGGCCAAAGGAGCCAAAAAAAAAAAAGGGTAATCCCCCCAATTACTCCTGGCGAGGATCGAAATCCTAACCAGTTTCACCACTGCTGAGCTTCCCAATGCGGTATCACCCGGTCTCACTGTTTCACTCAGCAATCAGATGGCCTCGCGTCTCTCACCCACTCGGCCATCCAGGGAGGATTGCACATATTACACTTAACTTGGGTCAAGTAGACCAGCAAGTCCCATTAACACAAGCTATCTGCTGCCTATCGTTCACTATTTACCACCCACCTCATCGGGCCTTCCTCTTTCGTCCATGTGTCTATAGATATCAGAAAAATGACAACTGCATTGGTACTTAATCAACACGAATAGCCGGCTACTTATGGGAAACTTGATTCGATCGTCTAATCCATTTAGATGAAGAGGCATAATATTCAGGATAACACCACGATGTGTTTGTTGGATGTGCTTTCAGATATATTTCCCCCTCTCAATGTTACAGCTAGAACGATGAATGATCAGCCGTGAAATGCGAATGCAATGAACGCTCGATTCCCCTAGACTACCTCTTCTATATAAAATGTAACAGAAATTTAGAAATATCTAGAATCCTCACTCGGACCCAAGTTACCAAATTAGGAATAAGGGCTTGGTTGACCACATGACTTGGGCCACATTTATATGGCCAAATACATTGAACATCTATGTGAGATTCTGATTAATCAACAAACAAGCATCATTTACATATGAATGCCTTGTATCATGATATCATCCCCCGAATCAGCCCGAAACACAAACATGAGGCAACCATGTTGAGACCCATCGCTAATTAGCTAACGCGCTAAAATGGCCATGTTGTTGGGAAAGAGTCCAAAATGAGGCCTGATCGGCGTCATGTTCCAATTCCAGTCAAATGCCCGAGGCTCATTTTTGCGGGGAGCGTGAAAGAAGTGGGCTGGCTTTCTTCACATGCTCTGGGCATCGCCAATCACCGAACGACTGGGGAAGGATCGACAATAAGCCCATGGCACTTAAAGCCCACAATCCACCGCTGGTACCTGGGGTATATTGAAGTGTGTAGTCCTACACCTTTATACCGTTTCCAAACCATTCATAATGAGTCCCAATCCAAAGGACTCCATGAAGTCCACCTGGCGGCAGCAAGCCCGCTCAGAGTGGACTCTCTTCCACTGGTTTTACGAACTCCTAGCGATCCACCCAGAACACCTCGACAAGAACATCCCCGTTCATATAAAGGAAGACGCAGTGCCCTACGTCCCAGACTGGTCCATGCACCGCTGGGTCCTCACGCACGCCGCCATCCCCCTCCTACTCCACCAAGCCTACGTCTCATACACCGGCCACAACCTCAGTGCCTGGGGCGCCTTCTTCCTATACGGATTTGCCTTCAAAGCCATCGCCATCCACGAACTCCACGTCCTCCGACGTCTAGGCCACCAGCACGGCTTCCTAGACGGCGACAAGCACGCCCGCGATGGCGTCCCAGACGTCGGCGTCGCAAAGGTCGTCCGCTCACTGATATCAACATCAACCTTCCGTCCAATGTTCACAGTCTTCATCACCTACCACGCCACACACGCGCCATCAACAATGAGCTTCGTCTGGCTCCCCCTCGAAGCCGGGTTATACGGAATCATCCTCGACTTCTGGTTCTACTGGTACCACCGCCTGATGCATGATGTCGGTGCGTTATGGAAATACCACCGCACCCACCATCTCACGAAGCACCCGAACCCGCTGTTAACGCTGTACGCGGACACTGAGCAGGAGTTCTTCGATATCCTCGGGATCCCGCTTATGACGTATTTCAGTATGCGGGTTATGGGGATGCCGATGGGGTTCTATGAGTGGTGGGTTTGTCATCAGTATGTTGTTTTTGCGGAGTTGGCGGGTCATAGTGGGTTGCGGGTTCATGCTACGCCGCCGTCGACATTTAGTTGGGCTTTGCGGTGGTTGGATGCAGAGCTTGTTATTGAGGATCATGATTTGCATCATCGGAAGGGTTGGAAGAAGAGTCATAACTATGGCAAGCAGACGAGGCTTTGGGATCGGATTTTTGGGACTTGTGCTGATCGTATTGAGTCTGTTGGGAACAATATCGATTATGTCAATTCGTCGCCTATGCCGTTGTATTGAGTGGCGTTGGGTTATTGATGATTTGCACTTTTTGGTGGGAAACAAGGACGTATAAAGTCTATAAAGGCGCGGAGGATTGTTGATGTCGGTTCTTCTTGGTTTGTTTTGCTTTATACTGTTTGATACGCGATATCTTTTGGATATAACTTATAACTTGAATCTCTCTGAATGAATGAAATGTTCCCCATGAGTAATGAATGAGGTTCTATATCAGACCGTAGGGAGCAGGCTAGATTCACCTAAGTGCATACATACATCATGGCTATTAATCTTCGCAGTGGCATGCGAGTAATTGAGATGCTACATGTGGAGTATTTGACAACCAACGTATGTATTACATTCTAAAAGATAATATGACATGTGGTATACGAGCCTAGAAGGCCTAAGCCTTCCACAGGGCATTAACTTGTTTCGTCCGTGCCTAGACAAAAGGATGTTAGAAAATGTACCTGGAGCAGTTAGACAGAAAACTTACCATTGGAGCCAAAACGGTGACACCCACTCCAAGTGCCACCACAGTAAGAACGAGCTGCAGCTTGGAGAAGCTCTTGCCAAGAATATCAAATGCCTGACTGGGCGTGGCTCGGGTACCGTAAATGTCGCTTCCGTAAGCGAAGATAAGACTGGTACTTTCTAACAGTGTAGGGCGAGAGAGCACGGCCTTGATGCCGGCGACGTCGCGTGTGTGCGAAAGGTACCATTTGCCATCGAAGTCAAGGTAGGGGGCGTACCGGTAGAGGCCTTCTTCAGCCTCGGCCGCGGTTGGGTCACGGTCGACAGGACGGCGGGGGTCGAGGACGGGGCGAGGAATGCCGACAATGGAGTTGGAGGAGGGGAGAGTACAGAGAAGCTGGCGAGTGGTGATGCCCTGGCGGGTTTGAGTGACAGCCATGTGGGAGATGGGCTCGGGGATCATGAAGGCCTGGGAGATGACGTGGGGCAACGGGAGGGTGGCGGTACTAGAGTAGTTGGCGGCGGAGTCAAGGGGACCACGGTCGTTAGGGAAAGGAGATTCATAGAGCTCCGAGACGACCAATTGATAGCCCTTGGCAGAGGACTCGCTGCCGGTAACGTCGCCCCAGAATGAGTAGGCAAACCAGTTCTCAGACATCACGGATGCAATGGGCTGCGTGGAGTCCACACCTGCTTGTGTAGTTGCGTGCAGGACCTTGCCTGAGACTCCGTCCAATAGGTAGAAACTGGCGGTATGAGTCTGCTCGTTCACTGCAGTCACCAGGGCGAGATTGGGGTTGAGGTACTTGTAAAGAACCGAGCGGTTTCCAAGGACTCTGCCGATAGATGCAACAGGGTCATGGGCAGGGCGAGCGGTCGCTTTGACGACCTTCTCTCCAGAGGGAGGAACAAACTCCCACACGGGAGTCTTGTTATCCTTTGCAACCCAACCGAGGACTCGGCCATCGATGCTGGTGGTTACTAAGAACCCATCTTCGTCAGCAAATGCAGTGACTGGAGTACCATCTTCACGGACACCGATGGTGGCCAGCGAGCTTCCATCTTGTGCCCCGAAGACAGCAACCGAGTGAAGTTTGGTGTTGGATGGTTCGATGTGCGAAACGATCTCTCCGGTCGACACATCCACAGTCACAGAGCTTCCGTCATCGGAATAGATGGTCGCGACTCCTGGCGAAGCCAGAATGGCCTTCACATTCCAATCCGGTGTCTCCACTGCTTGGATGCCCCACGAAACGGCGCCGTGGTTGCCAGTATTCAAGGCGTACACACGGCCGTTCTTGGTGGCGACAATGACTGATTTGGCAACCCCAAAGCTGTCGAGATTGGATACTTCGTCAGTCAAGATACTACTCACGATGCGCTTGGGAAGATCCTTCAGCCAGTCGGGCAGATGTTCCAAGTCACGAATATGACGCTTCACCCGGTGTAGGTACGCGCCGTACAAAGTCTCGTGGCCCTCGACCTCCAGCTCATGAGCTAAATCCTCCTGGGCGGCAGTTTCTGCCCAAGTGGCCGCGACAGTATCAATGAGACCCTCGTGCCGAGTCCACTCGATCTGGCCGTTCCGGATGAGTTGCCAATCTCCGTGCTTCCGGAAAAGCGCTGACCTAACAGCCACAGATTTTCCTTTAGCAACGACCTCAGATACTGAGTGAAGAGCACTGTCAGAAGAAGGCTTCTGTAGATCCCATCGTCCCAGAATTCCATGAGAGGCGGATGATACAACAACTGCTTCCAAGTCCGTAACTCGAGTGAAATAGACATTAGCGTCAATGACACTGACCGCGACCACCGACTGCCCAGGAAGATATGGCAGCTGGTAAGCCTTGGTGACCTTAGCAGACATCAAGTCCACATGGTAGACCTCAGCCCAAGCTCCGGTTTCGGTTTCAAAGTGGACCAAGAAATGGGGCA